GCCAAGGGGGCCTCAGCCTGCACTCTTATTCCATGGGGGCTTGGGGGGCTCCACCAGAGAGAAGAGAGGGGAAGACTTCTTCTGACCTTGCCTTCTTGTCTCTCTCTCCTTGGGGCCTGGGACCACCATCCAGGAGGCATTGCCCAATGCCTTCCTCAGGAGATGAAGAGGGGCCTCCTGCAGAGACCTTCCGGGTGGCAGGTTCGTCCCAGAGAAATCCGGCCTTCAGGTAGGCTGCTCTTCTCGGATCTCGTTCGTCACCTGGTGGTCTCTCTGGCCACTGGAAAGGTATGTTGGGAGCCCAATGCCCAGTTACCCTCAGCAGGCATTCAACACACTTCACCTGTCAACTCTCTCCCTCCACTTTTGGCCCCAAGAGCCTTTCCATGGCTGCCGGGTGCCATTGTTTCTTCCCTCCTTTCTTTGCTTTCAGGCGAAAGAACACCTGCATCGTCTTTGCCAGCTGGTCTGCAGTCCCTCCTCTGCAGAGGCCATGCAGGCAGTGGACTACGTGGCCCGCAAACAACTCAAGATGGCCACGGACCACTTTCTGGAGTCCAATGGGAGGTAGGACAGCTGGGCCTGGGGGTGCCCCTCCCCTGTCCCATGGGGCCCTAGCGGTCTCCCCATGGGATCGGAGACAAGGCTGGCCCTGACCATGGCTCCCCCTTCCCTCTCTTCATTCACAGGCCTTGTGGTGAATTAGTATGCGCCGTACTAAATTCTCAGTATTGTTGCCTGGAGGCGGCGCTGGACCTGTTCCTGGCCAAGGTGAAGGAGGGCCCTTGGCTAGCCCAGGAGGGCGAGGAACAGGGCGGCCCTACTTGGGATGCGGCCACGGTAAGGGGAAGGAGAATGAGACCCCCTCTTTCCCAGCCTTGACAAGGAGCCCTCCTTCTGTTGAGGTCCAAACCTCCTCCTTTCTCTCCGCAGGCAAGAGCGACACGGGCCATCGGCGGGATCATAAAGCACATCAGGGACAGCACTCGCCTGGAGGAGTGGTTCGTGGAGCTTCTGCTCGCCTTGGTGACCAACTTCATCGAGGTCACAAGGCCTGGGTTGGAGGTGCCCAGCAGGAACCGGAGCAGCAGCTACGTTCCTCCAGTGTAAGGAGTGGGTGGGTTTCCCCCCCTCCCTCCCCATTCCCCTTTTACCTTCACTGTTTCCCTACCCCCAATATGCACCCCCCATACTTTTATATTTTTGTACTTAAGAAAAGCTAATAAAAATATCTAAAAAAAAAGGAGTGGGTGGGGAGGAAGGGTCAGCAGGACTCCCAGCCCTTTTGGGGAGGCTGATGGGGAACTCAGACCCTCCACTGGGAAGTAAGCCTTTTTCTTTCCTTTTTCTTCTGCAGAGAATTGGCAAAGATCATCTCAGTGCTAGTGAAGAGGGTGGCCTGGGTGTCCCTCAACGAGACCTCCGAAAAGATGCTTCAAGATCCCAGCATCTGCCCCGAGGGGATGGCCCTCCAGTTACAGTAAGGAGCAAGGGCCGGAGGAGGTTCAGGGAGGAGGCCCGGCTTGTTCTCTCTGGCTGGGTTCCCTCAGGGGGTCTCTTTTGTCTTGCAGGAGCCTCCTCAAGTCCTCTTCTTCCCTTCTCCGGCACCTGAGTTCCACCTGGGAGGCAGAAGTGCCGCTGGAGCATTCAGCCGGCATGGTGGTCTTCTATATTCAGGTGAGGAGGGTTGGTCGGCCTGGGTTTTGGGGTTGGAAAGGGCCTTAGGGCAGGGCTGGTGAGGTGAGAAGAGACAGTGCTTCCCTTCCTGGCTCTAGCCCCTCACGCTTCTCCTCTTCTCTTTCAGCTACTGCACATCGGCCAGCGCCCTCACTCCCCGGAGAAGACCTGGACGCTGCTCACGGCCTGGCTCCAACATCGCAGCCTGGCCGTCCAACATCAGAGCAGGCAGGGTCTCCTCCTCCTCTGCAAGACCTACAGGGAGGTAAGTCAAGCGCAGCCCAGGCTCCGTGCAGCACAGAGAGGCCCAACAGGCCTTGCTCTTGAAGTCGTAGCAAGAAGATCCTGGAAGGTTCCTTCCTCAAAGAAGGGGGGAGGCGGGGTACATCTTACACAGGGCTGCGCTTTCACTGTAAAATAATCTTTATTATTAATTTTCATTAAAAACATACAATAACGGGGTGGGTAAGGTATAGGGGTGGTAGAGAGAAATAGGGGGGGGGGGGAAATAGCAGGATAGGAAGGNGATTTCGCCCTCCTTCCTCTCTCTTTGCAGACCATGGGCCTTAAGGAGCTCCTGGTCGGGGTCACTGCGGGGTTGCAATCCCCCCACAACAACATCACCTTGGAGTTCCTGGACCTGGCTGGCCGGCTGGAGCCCTTGCTTGAGGAAGAAGACCGGGGCCCCGCGAAGGTTCACCTGGCTGCCGTCTACCGCCTTCTCTTCCACCACGTGAGTCTTGGCCCCTGGGCCTCCTCCTTGGGGAGGGAGGGAGGGAGCTGGCTTTTCCCTCTCCCCATGCCCTGAGAAGGGCCTTCAGGGAAGGAAACGGGGGAAAGATGGCTTTCTTTTCACTCCCCCTTTTAGGAGGCGGCCAAGATCCGGAAGGCAGCCCTGGAATGCTTCCAACATATTCTCTGGCGCCCAGAAGATCCCAATCAGGAGCGCCAGACCATCCATGGCCTCCTGGCGGTGCTGGTGCACGTGGAAGATGAGGATGAGGAGGTTGCCAAGGTAGGAGGGAAGCCCAGCTCTGGCCCCACAAGGCCTTGCGGCTCAGGGAGGAGGGAGGGGGCCCTTGCCCTCCACGGGAGCCTGGCTCAGCTTCCCTCTTCCTTCTCCTCTTGGAAGGCTGCGAGGGAGACCCTCCGGGAGGTGGCGCAGGTCCTCGGATGGCACCTGGAGGAGAGCGTTCTGGCGCGGGACACCTTCAGCCTGCAGGAGCTGCTGCACAAGATGTCCAAGCGCCTGGTTAGTGGTCGCCCTAAGGCCTGGCAGTCAAGGGCCCTTCTGCCTGGCTTCTCTTGACCCCGCTCTCTCCTCCAGATCCAGCACTGCAGCTCCAGGTGGGAGTTGGAGGAGAAGGTGTATGGCTTCCTGCTTTTCTTTAAGAGCCAACATCCATCAGCAAAGAAGGCGGCAGCCATGTTGCTGGGTAAGGGACCGGGAGGGTCTTGGCCCCCTTCGTGCCCACCCCTGGCTTCCAGGTCAGCCTTTGGGGCAGCAGGAGGGGCCTTTTCCCCAGAGGGACCCCCCACCCCCATTGCAGAACAGTCCTTGGAGCCCCTCCTGGGGAACTCTAGGGCACTCTTTGCTCATGGAGGTCATCCCTCTCTTCTTTGCTGCCTGCCTTCCCTCCAGGTCACCTGCTTCACAAGATCGGCAGCATCGCGACCCAGAGTAACGTCTGCACCTTCGAGGCCTGTAAGTGGGGCCTGAGAGGGCCTGGGCCTGGGGGGAGAGGCTCCCTGGGGAGTCCGTGTGCCCTCCCTCACCTTTTCTCCTCCCTCCCTCTCTCCCTTCCAGGGCTGATCTTCCTCCTTGCCGACCATGACCCTGAAGTCAGGCGAGTTGGCTGGGAGACCAAGGCCATCCTCGCCAGGACCTCCGCCCTCCACTCCCGGCACGGACTGCAAGCTGCTCTTCGGCGCTTGGTGGCGGCCAGCAGGCGACAGAGGTACCCCCCAGAGTACGCCAAGGACCCACCCACCTGATGGACCGGTAAGGAAGGGAGGGAGGAGGAAAGAAAGAGGGACGGAGGGGGGAGGGAAGGAGAAAAAGAGAAAGAAAGGATAGAGGGAGGAAAGGGGGGAGGAAGAAATGGGGGAGAGAGGAAGAAAGTGAAGAGAGAGTGAAGGAGGGACGAAGGAGGGAAAGGAGGAAGGGATGGAAGATGGGAGGGAAGGGAGAACTGAGAGGAAGATGGGAGGGGGGAAGGAGGACTGAGAAAGGAAGGGAGAAAGGGAAAGGAGGAAGTGAGGGAGGTGGGAGGGAGGAAGATGAGAGGGAGGGAGGGAGAAAAGAGGGAGAGGGAGGAAAGTAAGGAGGAAGAAAGGGAGGGAGGGAGGAGGAAAGGGAAGAGGGAAGGAAAAGAGAAAGGAAGTGAAGAGCGAGGGAGGGACGAAGGGGGGAAAGGAGGAAGGGATGGAAAATGGGAAGGAAGGGAGAACTGAGAGAGGAAGGAAGGAAGGGAAATGAAGAAGCGAGGGAGGAAAGGGAGGGAGAGAGGGACAAAGGGAGGGAGGGAAGGAGGAAGGGGAAAGACAGAGAGGAATGTAGAAAGGGAAAGCAGGAAGTGAAGGAGGTGGGAGGGAGGAAGATGGGAGGGAGGGAGGGAGAAAAGAGGGAGGAGAAAGGAAGAAGGGAGGGGAAAAAGAAAGAAAGGGATGATAGAGGGAAGGAGGGAGGAGGTAAAGGAGGAAGGGATGGAAGATGGGGAGGAAGGAGGATTGAGAGGAATGTAGAAAGGGAAAGCAGGAAGTGAGGGAGGTGGGAGGGAGAAAAGAGGGAGGAGGAAGAAAGAAAGAAGGGAGGGAGGGAAGGAGGAAGGGATGGAAGATGGGGAGAAGGAGGACTGAGAGAGGAATGTAGAAAGGGAAAGCAGGAAGTGAGGGAGGTGGGAGGGAGGAAGATGAGAGGGAGGGAGGGAGAAAAGAGGGAGAGGAAGAAAGGAAGAAGGGAGGGAAAAAAGAAAGCAAGGGAGGATAGAGGGAGGGAGGGAGGAAGGAGGTAATGGAGGAAGGGATGGAAGATGGGAGGGAGGGAGTAGGCAAGAAGGCTTGAAGGAGGAATAGAGGGGGAGAAGGAAGGGAGGGAGGGAAGGAAAAGAAGAAGGAAGGGAGGGAGGGAGGGACAAAGGGAGGGAGGAAGGAGGAAGGGATGGGGGAAGGAGGACTGAGAGAGGAATGTAGAAAGGGAAAGCAGGAAGTGAGGGAGGTGGGAGGGAGGGAGGGAGGGAGGGAGGAAATGGAAGAAGGAAAAGAGGAGAGAGGGAGGAAGGGAGGAGGGAAGAAGGAAGGGATGGAAGATGGGAGAACTGAGAGAGGAAGGGAGGAAGGGAAAGGAAGAAGTGAGGGAGGAGAGAGGGAGGGAGGGAAGGAGGAAGGGATGGAAGATGGGAGGGGGAAGGAGGACTGAGCGAGGAAAGGAGAAATGGAAAGGAGGAAGCTAGGGAGGTGGGAGGGAGGAAGATGAGAGGCAGGAGAAAGGAGGGAGGAAATGGAGGGAGAGAGGGAAAAGACAAAGCAAGGAAGGATAGAGGGAGGAGGGAAGGAGGAAGGGATGGAAGATGGGAGGGAGGGAGTAGGCAAGAAGGGTTGAAAGAGGAATAGAGGGGGAGAAGGAGGGGAGGGAAGGAGCGAAAAGAAGAAGGGAGGGAGGGGAGGGAGGGCTGAGAGAGGAAGCGAGGGAGGTGGAAGGAAGGAAGATGAGAAGGAGGGAGAGAAGAAGGGGTGGAAAAGAGAGAGAAGGCAAGAAGGAGGGAGGGAGAAAGGGAAGAAGGGAGGGAGGTTTGTAAAGAGCTTTGGGATGGAAGGAAAACAAAACAACCGTGTTTAGTCTGATCAGTTCCAGAGCGTAGAGACTCCCTCCAAGCACACAGAGAGACCCAGGCGGTTGGAGTCGCAGGGCAGAAAGAGCAGACGAGGAGACAAGCGAGGGGTCCACGTCAGCCGAGGAGGGTCCGCCTTGGGGTCTCCTTCAGCGCAGGCCCTAAGAGAGGCCCCCATGGAAGGAGACCCAAGCCCTGCTTTCTCTGCCCTTTGCAGGAACACCACGATCCCCCGCGTGCGCGCCCAACAGGAAGACCTGCGCTCCAGCTGTGCCGCAGCCCCAAAGGGAAGTAGCGCCCAGGAGGCGGGAGTCTGCCCAGCCCTGGCCCAGGGAAGCCCCGCCCCCTGCAGAAGCCCCGCCCCCGCTCTGGGCCCCATTGCCACCAGGGGCCCTGGGAACAGAGCAGAGCAGGAAGACTGCCTGGGCCCCTCTGGCCCCTCTCTTGTTTCATTGTTAACATTAATTTTTATGGAAATTTTCCAGTTAGGTAAAACAGGGAAGAAAGAGAGGGGAGTTAGGGGTGTGGTGGGGGAACTGACGCTGCTCTGCCGTTCTTGCAGGACCGCTCTGGACGGAGGATCCGAGGGACAGTGACCACCAAGGGACCCTGACCGCCGAGGAACCCTTAAGGACGAAGGACCCTGACCATCGAGGGACATTAACCTCAAGGGAGCTTGACCACCGAGGGACCCTGACCGCCGAGGGACGCTTAAGAGTGAAGGAACCTGACCACCGAGGGACATTGACCTCGAGAGACCCTGACTGGCACCTGCAAGAATAGGAGAGAGAAGACAGGACTTCAATAGATTTGGGTTTTTGCTTTGTTGTGATTTAGTATATTGTAATTGTGTTGTTGTGCAGGAGAGGATCCCACTCCACTGTGAAAGCGCTGCTCTTCCCCTTTGGCCGCTCTGGCTGCCTCCTGTGGATCCGGGGCTGGCCGTGGAGGGAGGCCCAGGCCACTCTGGCGGATGGGGGGTTTCCAAGGGCCCCCTCCCTCCTCTGCAAACCCCAGGACCCACAGCCAAGTGCCGGAGGGGAAGAACTGCCCTTGAACAGTGCGATTGGAGAAGCCCCCCACTCTCGGTTTCTTGTAATTTAATATGATATAATAGTCTAGTCCAAAATGGTCTTGTTTAATAATATCTGATTAGAATAAATGTACCTCTTTATTTTTAATTGGCCGCTTTCCTTGGATTCCTTTGGGGAGGGAGACCCAAGCCACCCAGGGCTTGCCACTCAGGCCTCATCCACACTGACCCTTTCGTGCAGGTTGAACTGCATATGAGGCTGGGTCTATCCTGCCCTCTATCCCATATTAACTGGGATTCATACTGGATTATATGACAGTGTAGACGAGGCCTAAGAGGAAGAAGTGGGAGAAGATGATAATGCTGCCATGGAGGCTGGGTCTACACTGGCCTCTATTCCAGGATCTGATCCCGGATTATCTTCCTCAAAATGGATTATATGAGTCTACACAGCCAGATAATCTGGCTATGTAGATCCAACACAGGTCTGCATTGATCACGTAATACAGTTCAAACTGCATGAAATGCACAGTGTAAATAAGGCTATCCTCATCACACTAGAGAATGAATCCACTTACAATCCGGTTTCTGCCTCCTACAGAATTCTGGGGTTTATAGTTTTGTGAGGCTGTTAAAGTCTCCTCCCTAAACTACAAAGCCCAGAATTCTGCAGGAGGCGGCAACCAGATTTAAAGTGGATTCATTCTCTAGTGTGATGAAGTATGTATTACACTGCCATATAATCCAGTTTCAGAATGCATTTTAACTGTGGTTCAAACTAGATTCTATGGCAGTGTAGATGGAGCCATAGTTCGTCTCTGTTGTATAGGCTTTTTAACCAGGGTTGTATGTTGGGCAACACCGATGTAAATTGTGATTTAATATTGTATTCTTCTATAGTCTGTTTTGTAACCAAGTGTATAATATCTGCTCTACAGGTTTAAACATCTGTGTTTAGAATAAATGTCCCCCTTTCATTTTAATTTGGCGCTTTCCTTGCATTCCTTTGGGGAGGGAGACCCAAACCGCCCGGGACCCGCAACTCAGGCATCATCCGCACGGATCCTTTCGTGCAGGTAGAACTACGTTGTATGGTGAGTGCAGGCTCATCCACATTTCTCTGCACTGACCGTATAATCCAGTTCAAATGGCATGAAATGGGCAGTGTGGGATGGAGCCATAAACCTCATTTGCACTGCCATATAATCCAGTTCCAGAATTCTGATTAACTGCACTTCAAAATGGATTCTGTGGCAGTGTAGACGGGGCCTAAGAGGAAGAAGTGAGAGAAGGTGACAATGCTGCCATGTAGACTGGATCTACACTGCCCTCTATCCCAGGATCTGGTCCCAGATTTTCTGCTTTAAACTGGATTATATGAGTCTATACTGCCAGATAATCCAGGATAAGAAGATAATCTGGGATCATATCCTAGGATAAGGGGCAGTGTGGAAGGGACCATAGTTGGTGCAAATGTGTGTGTCTAGTTAAGATCATATTGTGACTATGATGGCATGGCTGTGACAATAAAATTTGTTATATTTCTTTAAGAACAACTATTTGTGTGAGTGTGTGTTTGTGTGTTTTCAAATGCTTTCCTGGGGGATCTGCTCCTTGTGGAAATCCAAAAGTGTGGTTAGTAGCGAACCCTGTTCTTAGTAGTCTGCAAGCGGAAAATGTGTCAAGAGTGTGAAACTGCAGCAAAAGAGGCCAATGTGATTCTAGGCTGCATTAGTCACAGTCTGGTGTCTCGATGGAGGGGAGTCACAGCCCCATTCTGATCCTTGAAGTGACTGGCTTGATATCAAAGGAGCTGTGGGTGGTGACAGCCGACAGGGAGCTCTGGAGTGGTCTGGTCCATGAGGTCACAAAGAGATGGAAGCAACTGAACGAATGAACAACAACAGCCCCCTCTCTGTTTTTTTGTTCATCTGTATATATGGGGGAAAGAGTCAAACTCTCTTCCTATGAATTCCTTGTATGTTCCCCTTCCCCATACCATTATATATGTGAGTGTGTCTGTATTTTAAAATATAAAGGAAAAACCACCTTTTTCATGGATCCAGCACCTTGTGGCTTCAAGAAGCGTTTCTCAATTTCCTGAGCCAGTAAATCCCTAGACAAAGGACTCAAGCAGAAACTCATTGCATGAACAATAGATAAATGGTCCTTATCTGACCAGATCTCAGAGGGCAAAGGCTAGTCCATCTGGAAAGAAAAGACCTATGAGCATCTAAATCACTCAACACTAAGAGTGTCTTCCTGTTTGCGAGGAATTGGGATTTCACCACAGTTCTTTTTCATTGTGTCAAACCAGCCTCAAATCTCATCAATGGATCCCATACCCAGGACAGAAGAACAACAAGAACCTAGCCCGAGCTAGACGAAAATGTTATTTTCAAAGGACTTCAACAATTATTCTGGCCAGCTCGAGGGCTTAAGCTATCACTGACTTATTGTACAAAATTAACCATTTTAATCCTGTTATCTTTTTGCCCCTTTCATTGTTTCCCGCCTGACCCACCTCTTCCCTTCTCATTGGCTGAGAAGCCGAAGCAGGGCTAGCGCCCTGATTGGATGAGGCGCACCCTTGCTAACCATGCCTCCTAGCCAGCTGATGACTCCAACCCATAGGCGAGAAGCTGGCAAGGGGGGAAGCAGGAAATTTGAATTTGACAGCTCTGAATTTCCTATAAAAACTGTAATAATTTCCCTAGTGAGTTATGTCAGCTCCTGGGCAAATGATTGCGGTTGACATCCTTTCCAGCTGGAATGAAATAAACATCTCGATGGCTTTCTCTTCAACTTGGTGAGATTTATTCTCTTTCTCACCAGGCAGCCACATTGGTTTTGGTCTATCCACAGCCATTCTAAATTGCTCAACAATATATCAATCTCCATGGATTCTGGTTAACTGATTGTCTGTTGTACTTCTTACTCTTCCTGATGTTATGAACCTTCTGAGAATGGAACACAGAAGGTGGTGGACTCTTCTTCATCAGAAATTTTAAAGAAGAAATTAGATGTCCATATCTCAGGAATCCTTCAGCTGTAGATTCCTGGGAAGGGTTGGACTAAGATGGTACTTACTCTCCCTTCCAACTTTATGGCTCTACCCTAAAATGCATGGGCTGGTGAAAGGGAATTTATTCCTCAGTTCTTTTTAATAGTTATGTACTTACCAAACCAACAGGACAATGGAAAACAACATGACAACGTTTTACGAAATTATGACTTTGTGTGTGTGTGTCCCTTGTTAAAAAAACCTAGCTTGGATCCTATGACCCTTGCCAATTACCGTCCTGTTTCTAATCTGCCATTCTTAGGTGATAGAGCAGGATGTACTGGGACAATTGCAACAATTCCTGGATGACATAGATGGCCTGGACCCTTTCCAGTCAGGTTTTCACCCGGGCCATGGGACGGAGACAGTCCTGGTTGCCATTATGGATGAACTCAGTCACCAGTCTGACAATGGTGGATCCGCGCTACTGGTACTTCTCGACCTTACCGCAGCGTTTGACACCGACTACGATCTAATGATTCACTGACTTGCCATGTCCAGGATTCGTGGTCAGGCCCTTAATTGGTTCAACTCATTTCTCCAGAACCAGAGTCAACGCGTGGAGTACATGAATCAAGTCTCCGATAGATCCCCCCTCCTATGTGGGGTCCCCCAAGGTGCAATTCTCTCTCCTCTTCTCTTCAACATCTACGTTAGAGCCCTTGCTAGTTTGGCTCGGAGTTTCGGCCTGGACTGCTACCAATATGTGGACGATACCCAACTCCTTCTTCGCCTGGAGCCTGGAGCAATGTCAATTCCAGACATTTTCACCCGATGTCTGGAAGCTCTGTCGAACTGGCTACGTGCTAGCAGACTGAAGGTGAACCCGGCGAAGACTGAGATTCTCTGGCATGGCCGCCCGGCAGGTCTGACTCATCCGTTACCCACCTTTGATGGTGCCGCCCTATCTCCATCGACCACTGTTAAGAACTTAGGTGTCGTCCTGGATTCGCAGCTGACAATAGAAGCTCAGGTCGCTTCTGCCAGCAAACAGGCCTTTTTCCATCTACGACAAGTGAGGCAACTGGCACCCTACCTATCTGACGAGGCTCTGGCAACTGTCATCCATGTCACGGTCACGTCTAGGCTGGACTATTGCAATGCCCTGTATGTTGGCCCTCCGATGTCTACGACCCGAAAGCTCCGTATTGTTCAGAATGTGGCAGCCAGGTTACTCACAAGAATGCCCATGAAATGCCATATAACACCAGCGCTGCAACATTGGCTTCCAACTGAGTACCGTGGCCTGTATATTAGTTCTGACCTTTAAAATTCTTTACGGCCAGGGTCCATCGTACCTTAGGAACCGCCTCTCCTTCTCCCATCATCGCAACGATCAGCCCAACGCGACTTACTTTATATGCCGGGTCCTAGAGAAGTGCACTTGGAAAGGACCAGACGCAGGGCTTTTTCTATTTCTGCCCCTGCCTTATGGAATTCCTTGCCGCCCTATCTGAGAGCCATGCGTGACTTAGGGCCTTTTACTCATAGGGCACTTAAGACCTGGCTTTTTATTAGAGCATTCGATCTCTGTTAATTTTTAAATTCTGTATGTATGTATTTTATCTTTTACAATTTAGCTGTAAATCACCTAGAGAATCCAGGAGGGCGATTAATAAATAATTAAATATGATGATGATGATGATGATGATGATGATGATGATGATGATGATGCATGGGACTGGAATGGTTTTGACCACCAAAAGACATTAATTGTAATAGCATCTTCATATTTATTTTTTAGAAAGGTTTATAAATGACTCTTGTGCCCACTGAGGCTTCCACAGTACAATGTAAAAACATAATATAAAAACAATAGCAATGACAATTTTTAAAAAAAATAGTAAATAACATTTTCAAAGTTGATGGCCTAACCTAGTTGCAGACTTTCTGATAACCTTCAGAAGCCTAACAAGGACAGAGCCAGCCTGACTTCCCATAGGGATGGCTGGGAGGGTGCTGCTCCAGGAAAAGTAATTTCTTGTATATTTGTCAACATGGGTGCTGGGACATGCAAGAGGTCCGGGTGTGAAAAGAATATGGGCAGACTCACATGGGAAAATACAGTCCTTAAGATATCCTGATCTCAAGCTATTTACCAGTTTAAAAGCAACTCTTTAAACTGAGCTTGGAAATAAGGCAGCACAGCTGGTCTGGTCTAGTGCTAGATGCTCACAGGACAGAAGACACAGCAGTCTGCTTACTGCATGTTGCACTAGCTGTCACTTCCAAACTCTTAAAGGTCAGCCCCATTTAGAGAACAGGACAATACTCCAATAGGTATGGGAAGCTGTGGCCAAATCCACCTTCCTGAGGAAGAAGCATAGCAGAGCCAATGCACTCCAAACCACAAGTAACATGACTTTCTAGGAATAAAGCTGAGTTCAAGACATTCCCAAACGGTAAATCCAGTCCTTCAGAGGGGGGGGGGGGGGGGAAGAGAGAGAATGTTATCACATTCAGACTTAAGTTGTAACTCCAGTTCCTATTTGGCTTGAGATCATCTGGGGAGGCCCTGCTCTCGACCCCACCACTATCACAAGTGAGGCTGGTGGGAACGAGGAGCAGGGCCTTCTCAGTGGTGGCCCCTCACCTGTGGAACTCACTCCCGGGGGAAATCAGGGCATCAACATCCCTCCTCGCCTTCAGGAGAAAGGTAAAGACGTGGTTGTGGGACCAGGCCTTTGGGCAATCTGACAATTAGATATGGAAACCAGATGGATAGGACTGAAAGGACTGACAATTGGGAATTGGAATTTAAACTATGAGAGTGTGAAACGCTGACCGTCAATGAGGTTTGTATTGGTTTTATTGCTTTTATTGGTTCTATGGTTGTTTTTGCCTATAATAAGTATTGTTTTCTGTTAAATGTTGTTATTGCTAGAATTGCTGTCTTTATTAACTGATGTTATTGTCTTTTGCTGTTATGTGATGCGGGCATCAAATTGTGCCTCGCTTTTGTAAGCCGCCCTGAGTCCCCCTCGGGGTGAGAAGGGCGGGATAGAAGCAACCGAAATAAATAAATAAATAAATTTTCTGTCTTCTCTGGATCAAACTCTCATTTGTTTACCACATTTGTCAGCACATCCAGTAATTCAGGGTTTCCACAGTGTCCTTAGCATCACAGTGTGGGATGTGGGAAAAGGTTTCGTTGGCAATGGACAGCACAATGGTGATCTCGCCTTCATTTAAATCTGGGGTAAGCTACAAACTGCAGCAGCCAAAAAAAAAACCTAAAATAAAATTGGAAGTTGCAAGAAACCCACTTCTGATTTTGAAAAAAATATGTTATGGGTCCGGGTGGGCAAAAGGAGGCCATGGTCTAGAGCAGTGTTTCTCAACCTGGGGGTCGGGACCCCTGGAGGGGTCACGAAGGGGTGTCAGAGGGGTCGCCAAAGACCATCAGAAAACACAGTATTTTCTGTTGGTCATGGGGGTCTCTGTGTGGGAAGTTTGGCCCAATTCTATCATTGTTGGGGTTCAAAACGCTCCTTGATTGTAGGTGAACTATAAATCCCAGCAAGTACAACTCCCAAATCTCAAGGTCTATTTTCCCAAAACCCCACAAGTGTTCACATTTGGGCATATGGAGTATCCGTGCCAAGTTTGGTCCAGATCCATCATTGTTGGAGTCTAGAGTGCTCTCTGGATGTAGGCGAACTTCAACTCCCAAACTCAAGTCAATGCCCACCAAACCCTTCCAGTATTTTCTGTTGGTCATGGGAGTTCTGTGTGCCAACTTTGGTTCAATTCCATTGTTGGTGGGTTTCAGAATGCTCTTTGTTTACAGGTTAACTATAAATCCCAGCAACTACAACTCTCAAATGGCAAAATCAATCCTCTTGCCAACCCCACCAGTATTCAGATTTGGGCATACCAGGTATTTGTGCCAAATTTGCTCCAGTGAATGAAATACATCCTGCAGATCATTATTTACATGGCGATTCATAATGTTAGGGTTATGGTTGGGGGTCACCACAACAAGAGGAACTGTATTAAGGGGTCACGGCATTAGGAAGGTTGAGAACCACTGGTGTAGGGAATGGAGTCTCCATCCTAATAGGCCTCCTTTGGTGGATTCAGAAAAGAGTGGTACAGAGAGGTTGAAAGGCTGAAAGCCAGTCTTAAGGATTACATGTGGGTTTCAGGCTGCATGTTGTCAGCTCTGATGTCAAAGTAAGAAACCAGGCCAATTCTGATGCATCTACAGGCCACATACAACCCCCAAAAAGCAAAACAGCAATTCCCCCAATTTCCAGCTTCTGTTATTAACTGCCCTTTGCAGAACTGGAAGTACAGCTCCAACTCCTATTTTAGCCCAACATCCTAGACTGATGTTACTGAATATCATGGAGAAGTCCAGCAAACCAACAGAGACGTAGCTCCTTGTTCAGTTGCTGGAGCAGGTCATCTACCAAGGCAACAAATGCTGTTTATGTCCCGAAACCATACCTGAAAGCACATTAGAATGGGCCAAACATTCACCTACCTACAAGGACATAATCTTATATGTACACTAAGGACAATTAAATCGTGGCTGGACTTACAGACAAATGTTGTGGTGGCTGGGGTTTTCTCTGGTATAGTCTCACACCCTTGGGTGAGCGCAACAGACTAAAACAACCTCTCTACCACTCTTTCATGGCGTAGTTATTAAGGACTAGGTCTGTATGAAGGAGGGCTGGCATTGCCCATGTGATACTGTGGACACAGAAATGAAGTTTGAGATATGCTGCTGAAGGTCTCTATGGACTTCATCTCATGGCTTTCAGGCTCTGTTTCCATGCTCTGTGGAAACGGAGTCCCATGAAGGCCATCACGTGACATAAGGTGGGACTTCATGGGGCTCCGTTTCCACAGAGCATGGAAACTAAGCCTAGAAGGCGTCTTTAGGAGACTGGTGTTGCCCAACTCCAAATGGCAGAAAGCGGAGGAAAGACGGGCATTGACGCAATAAGGACGTGGGATGGCTAGCCATCCCACAAAACAGGGGAAGATGGGAGGGAATATGGTAAGACTGTTCACTTTCCCCCACTTTCCCTCCACTCATGGGATGATATCCTAAGAAGGTCGGCACCTTCCACTCATCTTATGTGTTCATCACTCTCCCGAACACTGCCTAGCCAGCTAGTGCTAGCAAGGACCTATGCTTTGTGGCCTTCTGGTTTTGCATATCTGGTTTCAGAAAGACTGGACAGGTGGACTATTGAAAACTTCAGAAAGTAGGAGCCTGGTGAGATATTTGCTTCCTAGATTGTCAAATAATCCTGTTGTGACAGCGCGTGTGGCGCCACCTATGTATAGAACTGTTAGTTGCAAGATTTAAACTGTTGTATCATGCTTAATCCTGCCCCTTTTACCCTGCTTATGTATAGTTGTATGGATTGGTTACTTATAGCTGGCAATCAGTACTGTTTGGCTCCACCTCTTCCTGCAGGAGGGGAGTGCTTCCTTTCTTTTTCATTCTGCCATCAGAGTTTCTACCTATGTATAGAACTGTTAGTTGCAAGATGTAAACGGTTGTATCATGCTTAATCCTGCCAATTTTACCCTGCTTATGTATAGTTGTATGGATTGGTTACTTATAGCTGGCAATCAGTACTGTTTGGCTCCACCTCTTCCTGCAGGAGGGGAGTGCTTCCTTTCTTTTTCATTCTGCCATCAGAGTTTCTACCTATGTATAGAACTGTTAGTTGCAAGATTTAAACTGTTGTAACATGCTTAATCCTGCCACTTTTACCCTGCTTATGTATAGTTGTATGGATTGGTTACTTATAGCTGGCAATCAGTACTGTTTGGCTCCACCTCTTCCTGCAGGAAGGGAGTGCTTCTTTTCTTTTTCATTCTGCCATCAGAGTTTCTACCAGATGGATGTGAGTAAGAGACTTGACTCTAAAAGACCCTGATTTAAATTACCTCTTAGCACTGTGCCATCGCGCTTGGGAGCTATTATATCCTATTTTAGGCCATCCTGGCAGTTTCTATAGTATGCTTCCATCAGAAGATACCACAGAGTCACCCTGAAGGACCTAGCAAACTCCTAGGGAGGAAACCTCTCTAGGAATTTCCTAGGTCCTCGAGGGTGACTTTGTGGTAACTTCTGTCAGACATCATAAATTTCAAAAACAGTTTACTATTATCAATGGTTTCCTGTTTTCATGGCAAGTCAATGAACATATCCTTATTGATACAGGGGCCGGATAGTAAATGCTTCTGGGTCTGGTTGAAGCCCTTGCCTGAGCAACAGCCAATTTCTCCTTGGCCATCTTTTGAGTTCTGCCTGTGTTGCCTGTCTATTCCACAGTTTCTCCATCATCCCCACGCTAGCTCCATTTTGGCCTCCTTCAGGATCTGCTACTAGCAATTCCCAAAGTCTTTGACTCCCAACCAAAGTGGGACTCGTACTTCTTGCACTCTGCTTTCCTGGCTGCCCTTGTCCCAGTGCCGATGCCTTGAGCAGACACAATATTTCAGTGGGTGGCTTTTAGCACCAGTGCTTTGATGGCTGCAGGGGGCCCATTCCCAATTGACAGGCTTGTATGAAGCCCCTCCTGCTGGTGGGAAGAGCGTTCCGATTTGCTGGTGCTGCCTTCCAAAATTGGGAAACCAAAGCGTTTGGCTTGTCTATCCTCCATTCCAGGAGAAACCGCCAGGAGGCAGCAGAGCAACTTGAAAATGGCTCTTCTCATGTCCTTGCTTGTCAGGGTGTAAATGATGGGATTGAGAAGGGAGTTGATCATAGCCAGGCCCAGGAAATAGTCCGCCTTGTACAGCAGGCTACAGGCCTGTGCCTGGCATGCAACATCCAGCAGCAGGAGGAGGAAGAGAGGGAGCCAGCAGGCGATGAAAGTGCCCACCACAATGGTCACCGTTTTCAGCAGGGCCATGTACTTCTGGGATTTCTTGAGCATGCCCTTCCGAAGGCTGCCCAGGCGCTGCCCGTTGAACTTGACCATGCGGTAGATGCGGGCATAAAGCACCACAATGGAAATAAGGATCACCAGGAAAATAGTGATGCAGAAGAGGACGTAATGCTTGGAGTAGAGGGGCAGCACTGTTGAGCACTCGGGAAGGCTTTCGATGCAGTTCCAACCCAGGATGGGCAGCACCCCGAGCAAAACAGAGGCCAGCCAGCTGGCTCCCACCAACAAGAACATCCGCCCTTTCTTGTCCCCCTGGTAAAGCCTCATGCGGACCATGGTGATGTGCCGCTCGATGGCAATGGCGAGCAGGCTTAGGACAGATGCCGCCAGTGTGACAAAGACACCACCTTCTCTCAGAAACCACTGGACTGGAGTCAGTTTGAGGGTGTTGGGTCCAGACATGATGATATTGGCTGTGTAGGCCACTCCGGCCAGCAAGTCCGAGAGGGTGAGATTCCCAATCAGGTAGTACATAGGTGAGTGGAACTTCTTGTTCCTCCAGATGGCCAGCAGGACCACTAAGTTTTCAACCACAATGAACGCACACACTACCAGGAAGACAATAGCATCTGCCTTGAGGCTGCCCTTGTACTTGCTGGCCTGGAGCTTCCCAGTGTAGTTGTAGTGCAAGGAAATTATGTTGTTATTGTGGTACTCCCGATAGAATTGCGCCGAGTAAGTTAAAGACTCCATGCTGATGGATCCCATTCCACTGGGCCCTTTTGACCTTTCCTTTTAGTCCATGCAGGGGTACAAAGTCCTTCTCCTCATGCTGTACCTCTCTTATGTTATACTCCGACTTTTTTCCAAGGAAAGGGGATAATGTTTCACCGAGGAAATTATTTTGCAAGCAGTTGGTTTACCACTCTCAGTTTGGATTTGGAAGAAGACACCACAATTCTAGAAGGCTCTGTATTCTGATCCATCAGTCCAGAGGGAACCTATAAATACAGCAAGAAATCAATATAAGTTTACAGGATTTGCAAATCACAAAGCAAAATCAGATCCAAATGAGATCCAGTGTTTTCAAAGAATGCCATCAGAACAGAACCTGGATTTCCTTTCATAAAAGATAGATCACAGATACGTTTTCTAACTCATGACTCTCTCCAGTCTGGGGTGTGTGTATGCCTTCAAGTCATCTGTCAATGTATAGAGCCCCATGAATGTAATAGGGTTTTTCTAATCTGCAGAACTAATTCAGTTTTATACCACTTTAACTGCCATGTCCAATGCCATGAAATTCTGGGATTTGTAGTTTGGGGTGGCAATGCTAAAGACCTGAGAACTACGTATTTTAGCAGGGACCACACTGCAATCCCCACACTGTCTCAGCCTCAGCTCAAAGCAATAGTGGTAGCCTTTTCTGAACAAAACATGTAAAGAAAACCCTACAGTAGAGTTACCACATGTCAGATGCAATTTGAAGGCACACTCCAACATGACAGATTTAATGTGATCCTGAAACAAGCAGAGTCAGCACCATGGAAACACTATGGATCACCAGGTAGAGCTTGGAAAAAATTGAGAGAGCAGCTTCCACTCAGCAATGACAATATTGAAGTAGAGGGACCCATGGTCTGACTCCATATAGGATAGTTTTCTGTGCTCCCAGATCTAGGAAATGCTGCAGAAAGAGGAGCCACACAATGCTAGACATCTCGGCAAGACAACAAAACAACACAAAAGCTCAGTACGGTCTCCACAAAAGCAGAATATCCAAGTCCAAGGCTTTCTACTGGTACATCACCTTAACAGTACCAAGATGGAAGAACGGTGGGGGATCTCATGAAGTTATGCAGACTAAGAATGGAAAATAATTGCATTAATTTCAGCAATCTCAACAGAAAAGAGGAAACAATGAAAATGAACAAAATCTGGCTACCAGTATTAAAAAACTCTAAAATTACAACAGCAAAACAACAGAGAGGAAACAATCAAGGACATCTAATCATCTCTCAACAAAAGATTGCCCCAGGCACCAACAAGCCACACCAAACAACTGCCAGGCCATCAAATGCTAATCAAGGTGGTCAGTTGAAACATTCACACCTAGCTCCAGCAGACAAGAGTTCTTTGTCCCACCCGGGTCATTCCACAGATATATAAACCCTTTTTCCTAGTTCCAACAGACCTCACTACCTCTGCGGATGCTTGCCATAGATGCAGGTAAAACCTCAGGAGAGAATGCCTCTAGAACATGACCATATAGCCTGAAAAAACCTACAACAACCCTTCAAAAATCTCGTTTAAGAGAGTAGTCCTGCCGTGCCTCCTAAGGCTCGCTGTCAGGAGGTGCACACTTTGCCTTGAAAATACCCACATCTGCAAGGCTTACAAGTCAAATGAGAGAAACAACGTGCACACATGTCGATGCACATATTTTAAAATGCGGTCGCTAAAACTGTATGTATCTGGTGGGGGGGGGGGGATATGCAAAAAATAATTTACTCAGTGACAAAAAGCTCACACGAGTGAAAGAACATTAATATGCGCAACATCCACCCCAAACACACACAGAGAGAAAAAGAAAATGCAGATGGGATTCAGAGTAATGCACCAAAATGGTGATGGATCAATCCTGATACTGGCAATTCAGCACTGATTTCAGTCCCGAACAGACTCTGACAGCAGTCCCCAAGGCGGAGAGTGGAGAAAGAATTTGAACAAAGGACTTCTCTAAAGACAGCCTGGCCAGAGAACTTTGGCAAGTGATTTGCAACACAAAAGGCCTCAGGTCATGGATGCTTGTTGTCTGGCTGGCCCCACAGGTTGGGGGGGGGGGACACTGCTGCCCGGCTTACAGGTTGCGGGGGGGGGGGGGGGCTGAGAGAATGCTGCCCAGCTCACACAAAGACAAAAAACGCACACAGCAGGCACCCAGAGACACAGACTGCCAGCCGATTCATGGGAAGTAGATTCGGGCAAGCTGAAAAGGGAAAAGTGCCAAACCTCTCTCCAGAAGTTGTTGCAAGAGGGTGTTTCTGCTGTCTTGGGTTGCCCAGGTAGCACATTATGTGCCTCCTTTTTGAAGTTTTATCTCTTTTGTCCCACACAGGTAATCCCAAAATTACAGATAAGAGAGGAGATTCCATCTGAACATTAGGAAGAACTTCCTGACTGTGAGAGCCGTTCAGCAGTGGAACTCTCTGCCCCGGAGTGTGGTGGAGGCTCCTTCTTTGGAAGCTTTTAAACAGAGGCTGGATGGCCATCTGTCAGGGGTGATTTGAATGCAATATTCCTGCTTCTTGGCAGGGGGTTGGACTGGATGGCCCATGAGGCCTCTTCCAACGCTATGATTCTATTATTCTAAGATAAGGTTTTGTAGGTTTGTTCTTGTTGAATTTGTATGTAAGTGGGAACAGATACATTTTTAAGTGTAATGCCAGTCATGTGTGTACACACACAGAGACACACAGACAGACACAGACACACTTTGGATAGAATAGAGTTATTAACACCTCCTTATTTATTTATTTATGTATTTGACTTGTATACCGCTACTCCCAATTTGGCTCGGAGCGGTTTACAGCAGTAGATTAAAACAATACAATTAACTTTAAAATACAATAAAAACAAGAACAGACATAGTCCCGAGTTATTCACCCATCGAAAAGCTTGTCGGAAGAGAAAGGTTTTACAGGCTTTCCGAAAAGCAAGTAGGTCTCGGATAGTTCGGGTTTCAACTGGCAAGGCATTCCATAAATAAGGGGGCCACAATCGAGAAGGCTCTCTGCCTAGTAGAGGACAGATGATAAGTCCGGATGTTGGGGACTTCAAGCAAATTTTGGTCTTCGGACCGAAGTAATCTCTGGGGTTGGTAGGGGGATAAGCGGGCCCTCAGGTACGCCGGCCCCAGACCATATAAGGCCTTAAAGGTTAGTACCAGCACCTTGAAAGTAATTCGGTACTCAATCGGAAGCCAGTGCAGCTGTTGTAGAATTGGGGTGATACGACACCTCGCCGGCACCCCAGCAAGAAGACGAGCCGCCGCATTTTGCACCAGCTTCAGTTTCCGGATCACCAATGTAAGGCCAAGGTAGAGGGCGTTACAGTAGCCAAGCCTCGAGATGACCGTTGCCTGGATCACTGTAGCCAGGTCGTTCCTAGAAAAGAACTATTTAATAAAAAAAAAGTGAAGGTAGTCCCCTGACATTAAGTCCAGTCATGTCTGACTCTGGGGTGTGGTGCTCATCTCCATTTCTAAGCCGAACAGCCTGCGTTGTCCGTAGACACCTCCAAGGTCATGCGGTCGGCATGACTGCATGGAGTGCCGTTATTTAATAGGAGCTCTTTAATAGGAGCCCCCAGTGGCGCAGTGGGTTAAAGCGCTGAGCTGCTGAGCTTGTTGACCAAAAGGTAGCAGGTTCGATTCCGGGGAGCAGCGTGAGCTTCCGTTGTCAGCCCTAGCTTCTGCCAACCTAGCAATTCGAAAACATGCAAATGTGAGTAGATCAATAGGTAACGCTCTGGTAGGAAGGTAACGGCGCTCTATGCAGTCATGCCGGCCACATGACCTTGGAGGTGTCTATGGACAACGCCGGCTCTTCGGCTTAGAAATTGAGATGAGCACCACACCCCAGAGTCAGACATGACTGGACTTAATGTCAGGGGACAACCTTTACCTTTAACACCTCTTTAGTGTTTGTTTTGCTGTCTGTGCCCCTGTTCAGAAGATTTGACCTCACTTTCAGTCCCAGATTTTTGAAAAAGTAAGTTTGCTGTGGAAACAAATATTAGTGCTAAAGCTTCAGTGGTCAGTACTTTTTTCCCATGATAGCTTTTCCTGGAGTAAATTTCCCTTCCTAGCCATAGGTTTTCTCTCGCTTCCTACTATCTCACCCCATTCTTAACTAGGAGTCGGAAGCTGGGCATGATTAGCCTGCAGAAGAGGAGGCTGAGAGGAAACATGATGGTCATGTATAAATATGTGAGGGGATGTCATAGCAAGGAGGGAGCAAGCTTGTTTTCTGCTGCCCTGGAGACTAGGATGCGGAACAATGGCTTCAAACTACAAGAAAGGAGATTCCACCTGAACATTAGGAACAACTTCCTGACTATGAGAGCCGTTCACAAGTGGAACTCTCTGCCCGACGTGTGGTGGAGGCTCCTTCTTTGGAGGCTTTAAAACAGAGGCTGGATGGCCATCTGTCAGGGGTGCTTTGAATGCGATTTTCCTGCTTCTTGGAAGGGGTTGGACTGGATGGCCCATGAGGTCTCTTCCAACTCTTTGATTCTATGATTCTATGGATGTCTGTAACTTGGGGGCTGCCTCTACTCTGGGAATTGTGCTCTTCTGTCAACTAGATCTTAACAGAGACACTGCATGCACCAAAATACTTCTGTTGCCACTGGAGCAGACTCCCCCATCCCAACACACAAGGTATTCCAGACAGGCCCCAGATGACCTCTCCTAACCCAGAGTGATGTGCACACATGGGTAAAAGCTCCAATACACACACCCAAAACAACCGTATTGTCTACATAGGACTGACCTTTTCTTTTCAGACAATAACTGATTTAAAGCAAGCTACACAATCCTTTCTGGAAGGGGTACTGGGAGGAGGACTGAGAACAAGAAAAGAGAACAGGCCTGCCTGGGGCCCATGAAGTAATCTCCTGTCAAGAAGTAGTTCTCAAGTGTGCACTTTCTCATTCCCACATACACACACACACAATCCTAACCTACAGACAGCTACAATTAGAATTGAAACCAGGGCTTCATTGGTTCACCAGGGTCTAGTCTCAGAATGCTGCTCAATTGTTGGGATCTATTCAGAGTGAATCATAGAATCATAGAATCAAAGAGTTGGAAGAGACCTCATGGGCCATCCAGTCCAACCCCCTGCCAAGAAGCAGGTATATTGCATTCAAATCACCCCTGACAGATGGCCATCCAGCCTCTGTTTAAAAGCTTCCAAAGAAGGAGCCTCCACCACAC